ACGACAACGTACACCTTCCCCACCGATACGTCGAAGATCGAAAGAACAAGTACGAACATTTCTCTTCATTATGCCAATAGCAATTATCTTAAAATTTATGAGAAAATATTAAATGCAATGGAAGTTTAGTTTATATTCAGCAAATTCTTTCTTTCTCTCTCTCTCTCTCTTTTGTTCATTACAAATGTAATTTATGATATTAATAATATTAATGTTATTAATTATAGTTTATTAAATTAATTTATATTGATCTAGACTGGTAAAATATTTCATTATTTCGCTACATTATACAGCAACTGAATTATTGATAATTCTTTTATAGTGGACAAAATCTGAAGAAAAGATCAGTTCGAACGAGCTTCCGTCAGGTCGTACTTCAAGTCCGGTACACGTGGTACAAAGAACTTGGGAGAGTCGTAATCGCGACGTTCAAGCACAAACACCCGAACGCAATTATAGAAGTACTTCGCCACGATCGCGATCAATCTCGCCGAAATCGCCGATAAATAGTCGCGAAGAGAAAAAGTCGGATAGTTCACGAGCATCTAAAGGTAAGTCTTCTTCATAATTAATTGATAGAAGTAATAAGCTAAAAAAATATTTAAATTATAAATTTATAAATATTTTTAAATACTTTAATTTAAAAAATTTAAATTTTATATCATTATTACGATCGAATTGGAAAACAATCTGATAACAAATAATCCAGACAGTACAGAATATTTATGATATTTATTAAAATTCATTTTTTTAAACGTTATATAAATATTTCGTATATATTTTATATAAAGTTTTATTCGAAATATTATTAAAATATACATTAAATATTTTATGTAATATTTATGATAAAATAAGAAAATATTTCTAATAAGTATTTTTTACTTTGATTATAATGTCTCATTAAATATTTTCATAGCATTTTATTATAACATTTACAATAAATATTTCATAATGTTTATAATAAACGTTTATAATCTTTGCAATCTAAGATCACAAAAATATATTTACAAAATATTTAAAATAAATCTTATAAATATTTATAAATATTTTGTAAATATTTTATAAATATTATGTGCTGCTGGAAAGTAATAAAACAAAAGCCGATTAAAAATAAAGTCGAATATTATATGTGTATTAAATATTACTATTTATTCACATCTAGGTCATGGGCCTAAGTATAAGATCGGCGAATCCTTTCGGAAGCTGGTGGGTAAATTACGTTCAGCTAGTACGGAGAGAAAGAATAAACGGACAAGCGGTGGTTCTACCTCACAATTGACGCAGACCGACGACAACGGCCCGACCTATTTGCAATACAACGTAATCGACAAGAACATTCCTTTCGTCAGCGAAAGGGACACGATGGAGGACAAACCACCGGAAAGACCACCACGATCACCGCGAAACGCTAATGCGTCGAGTAAAATCACGAAGATCACCAGGACGACTGATCATGGTATTCAGGAATGGCAACGCAGTGAATCCACGCCACCACCCCTGCAGAGGTATTACTTGGGCGAGGATCCTTTCGGCGGCAGTATCTACGGCCGTGAAAAAGGATACGAGAACGACCGAGACCGGCTGCGACACGGAAGACCACGCGGTTCCGGTAAAATTGCCGTAGATTCCGAACACAGGTAATCGAAGTACTCGATATAACGAGAGCGAGACAAATTTTGATTGATAAGTTATCCCCTACTTAAATTAGATCGCTATGCTTGATACTGCCCCTTATCGTTATTGCGCTTGTTGAAATATCTTCACATCTTCATTTAACACTGTACAGTGGTGTCTTCTGTAAAATATTATAGGTCTTCTGTCTTTCTCTTGTCTGGTTTTTTTTCAATTGGTAAAGAATTACTACTTAAGGTTCATAAGGGAGTTGTATGGATTAAGTTACAGAAATTGTTCAGATGGGATTTATTTTCAAAGTAGATAATTTCGGTTAAAGGTTTAGAAAAACGAAAGGAGAAATATTATTATAGAATTATGAATGATGGCGTTGATTTTCACCAAGGGAAAATCGATTGTGAATTGAAAGTGTGAGGGATCTAACTTAATCCGAGACACTCTACATAACTATCTATGCATGAAATGTTTATCAGGAATGACATAGTGTTCCGAAGATTTCACGCTTTCATTGTCAGTAAAAATTTGTCTCTCGGTCAGAATCTGTCATCATGAAATAGACGACGAACTTGCTATCTCATGTCGCTCGATCGCCAAAGACGAAGTTAGTTGTGCAAGCTTCAGGAGCCTAAGTGCGAAGTCTAAATCGGGCCGCTTGGGTATATATCTTTAAGTCGCATCTCGGCGACTCCGTGCTTCGATTTAGGGTGAAGGCTGCATGAAGGGACGCATGGGAATCGAACGTATATATGACTCGGTAGGCTCATTCGATCGTCGCCGCTGCAAACGTCGACGAGAGAAAATCCGCACGACTAGGCAATCACCTTTCGGAAACAACCGCGTTTCAGCGTCGCCTCCAGCTCCCTCGGCAGATTTAGCAAGTCCACTAGCAGACTGGTTAGCGATCACGAGAGGGAGGAGCACTTCCGGACCACCCAGACGTTACCGCGGAGCTTGCATTCCAACGGTGGTGAACAGTCAGCTCGCTCTCAGACCAGACGATACCAGGCACCGAATATCGGCAGATATGGCAAAATGAGCCAACATCACAGCAGCATGATCAATATATCGATCAAGAACACGGTGAACATGTCGTCCAAAGTGAACGCGACGCCCGCTTATGGCACTCTTCAGGCTCCACCGAAACCCGAACGTACGTACAAGTCATCGCTATCACGTAGCAAAAGCTTTAACGTCGAGGCCAACAAGAATGGCGTCGACGCACCAATCCGTGTACCGTATACCTCCAATTTGCACCTTAATCGCCTGGACGAGACGCCACCGTTGAAGAGTCCTGGTATTCTTGCCAGCATTAGCCGTAGTAACAAAGATTTATTAAGAGACGGCAAATATTAAGGTAGCCATCTAGTGACATAATAAACTGTATATCCTTTCGGACGTTAAATTACGCTATCCTTCCCCGCGAATATTATATTATAAATAAAATCTTAATTTATCTCAAAGCGATATAAAACTTAGGAGAGAAGCTACTGATCTGGTAATGAATTATACATTTGTATTTTACATATATTATAGATTCTTCTGCATACGTGCTTTTGATATTCTTTTTTTATTTCCTCTCTTGCTATCATTCAAATCTCCCGTTCTTGCTTTTCTGCTCCCATTTTTAATTGCGTCACTAATGACCACATCATGTTTTTGGATTTGTAGATACATTAAATTTTTCAATTTATTCTTATCAAACAACTTCATTTCCATATTATCACTTCGTTATGTATTTTAATGTGGGATTTTGTTGGCGTGACGTAAATAATTGTAGTGATTATAAATAGACAACATCCTGGAAACTATTCAAGAAATTAGCAAGTATTGCAGTTACAATTTATAACCATTTTATAAACCATTTTCGCGTAGACAAGATAAATATAAATTCTACTGTATGACATACACGTTTTCATGAATTACTTAATGTGAATTAGATCTATCGAAGTCAAGGATGTGAAAGCTACGTTCTTAGAAATTGATTATATAGAATTATTAAAGTAGAACCGATAACAATCGCTAAATCTTAAATATTACAGAATGTTTCGTTTATTTTTTACGTTTACGTGTCACGTATTTTCGACAGTTAAATTACTGACATTCTCGTAAAACAGAATATGTGAAGGTCGTTAACTATTCTTGGTATATAATGTATAGAATGCTCTCTTTATTACTGTATATTACTTGTATTTTTTTTTTATTAATATTTTTTTTCGGCAATCTGAAGAATTTTTTTATGAGTAATTATATTAATAAAAACAACAGCCTTGAAAAAAAGCATCGCAGGACATTCTGTACATCCGTAACCGCGTATACTTTATTAATAAATGAATAGATGTACAAGTTTCATATAAATGCAATATTATTTATATTCGATAAATTAGAACCTTATATCGGTCAAAACTAGATCTTAAAATGCTTAAATAATTCAATCTTGAATCACTAAATGTGCTATATATGTACTACATATATACCACACTTGTAGTAGTTGTAGTCTAACAAACAGCGCGCCGAAAAATTTCCAGACTATATAAACGTAATTAAACCACTGTAGTAATTTCGCGAATTAAATTAATTTCTAATAATTTCGATGCTCAAACAGGCATCATATTTCAAAGATGTTAATATGCTGAAAAAACTGTAATTAAATTTATTGCGAAAAATATTATCTCGACCGGGAGTCGAACCCGGATCTCTTGTATTCCGTACGAGCGTCCTAAGCCATTAGACTACCGAGCCTCGGTAATCCTTCGGAAACTTTTTGGCGCACAGTTTGTTAGACTACAAGTGTGGTATATATGTCAAGTACATATATAGTATATTTAGTGATTCAAGCTTGAATTATTTAAGCATTTTAAGATCTAGCTTCGACCGATATAGGGTTCTAGTTTATCGATTGTGTTCTTACATGTACGGTCTAAAAAATATTATTTATATTGTTCATATTGTTGATTTACAATAATATAATATAAATATACCTATACCTATAAACAAAAGTTCTCTCTTTTATCTGCAATATTAATTAATTACTATATCTTTTATTTAAAATGTTACATACATTATAACATAGAAAAATTCATTCAATTGTTTGCACTGTATAATGTGAAATAATGTGACAAAAATACTGTAATCTCTTTCGTTAAAAGTATTTGAGAATTTACGTTTATTTAAATTCTAAATCACACATTTATATATTATATCCAGTAAACATCGAATATAACATATACGTATAAATACACATGTTATATATCTATGTTATATTGTTTGCTGGATATTTACATTGTATAAATTTTACAGAAATAGAAAATAATAGAAAAAATTATTAAAATATTTTTTGATCGATATATCGCAAAAATACAATTATTCTTTTTTATTTTTATTTCACCTTTTTATGCGTATCGCCTGAGGTAAATTTTTGGAATTTTCGGAATTTTTTGATAGCGAGAAATGTGATCACCACATTTATAATGTACATGCTAATACACACAACGCAGATATCTCTTTGTAGATATAATATATGGATTAAGTATATCGATAAAATATTAGAGATTATTCCCAGAATAACAGTGGCGGCCGAAAAGGTGTAATTATTAATCATACCTGAAAAAAAAAAAGATTTGTTATTGTTATGTAAAACGTATGTACAGGAACGTAGGCGACAGTAATTGAATACATACTTAAAATTGTGATCAGAGTATAAAACATTAAACCGTATATAGGATTTGAAATGTTAAACACGGAATCTTTTGGAAACAATCCGAATCCCTTGCCATACCTGAAATACGATGTTATTTTTTTACTACTTATTTTGTGTATGTTGATATTTGTCTGAAATAATTTTATGATTATTTACGATTATCAGTTTCGAATAATTTCATGTTATGTCATTTTATATTTTATCTAAAGATGGAATCACATGATGTTCGATTTCTTGATAACATGCATACAGTCATGCCCGCTCTGATGCTAGAATTCGCTCATGCATTGAGCGGTGCATGCTACATATACATGACTTTTATATATTTATTATAGATTTATTATAGACTTCATAGTTTATCTCCTTACATGCACCAATCAAAAGAAACAATTGCTAATTTCATAGTTATTTGTCAAACGTCAGACTGTGGATGCGGACCACTTGACGCTACAAATGCTTCGAAACGTTTGATTGACCAATCGAAAGAAATAATTTTACTAACTGACCAATCAAAAAATGCTTTGAAGCATTCGTGGCATCAAGTGGACCTGTATGCATCAAAGCAAGCATAACAGCATGCATGCATGCTTATCATTCGCAAGAAATCGAGCATCGTATGATTCCATTATCTTAAGTCATTCTCATTATGTTTTATAAATCTCAGTATATGGCTTAAAAATTCGCGTAGCTGAAGGCAGCAATTTATGATTGAATTATACGCGTCATGTTTATTGTTACTCCGTTGGAGTAACTACTCGCTCCATTTTCTTCGTTCAATGAACGTTTTACATGTGGCAGAATATCTTTTTTAAAAATACTAGAAATAAAATAATTAATACTATTTACGGGGTATTTAAAACAAAATTCTATACTATAAATTATAATCATGTCCGAAATTTGAGATCTGTTCGCGTTGCCTAAAATCCCATAAAATTTTTGCACTTGAAAGGAGATAGATATTCAAACATTCTGTTCGCGTTGTTTGTACATTTGCATTTAAAATCTTCGATTTCTCTTTTTTAAATGTCCGAATATAGTATATTTATTTCTATATTTTAAATGCAACAGCAATTTTGAGATTTTATTTCAAGCAACACAAACAGACCTATTTAATAGAGAGAAAGTAAAGGCCGCTACACAGACTTTAGGCCGGTCCCAACTCCAATTAACTTAATCGATTGTTACATTGGAATTGACCAATTGCATTTGCTATTCAGCAGAATTGACCAATCATAGTTGACACATGTCTGGTTCATGCTTCGGTCTTAACTCTAAAATCCTAAAATTCAGCCAATGGAATATAGATTTCAGTTAGGACCAATTAAGACTGACAGCCCTATTGACTGAATTTAAGGATTTTAAGGTTAAAGCGGGGAGCACAGATTCTTGCATAACACATAAGGCATATAAGAAATTCAACCAATCATAGTTCTTTATTGCATGGAAAGAAAGGAAACGAAGGACTTTGGTTTATTTTCTTATGCATTACGTGTTATACGTTATGTAAAGCGGGGAACACAGACTCTTGTATAACGCATAACACGTAATGCACAAGAAAATGAACCAATCAAAATCCTTCATTTCCTTCCTTTCAATGAAATAAAGATATCTGATTGGTTGAATTTCTTATGCTTTATGTGGTATGCGTTATGTGAGAGTCTGTGCTCCCCGCTTAAAGCAGTGCTCCCCGCTTAAGACCGAAGCATAAACCAAGCAGTAATCGATTAGATTAATCGGAATTGATGAGACCGGTCCTTTGTATAACGCATAATGCTCGGTCCACAACCTTGCTTTAAGAGCCCGTAAACCGTAAAGTCTTAAGAAATTGATCAATCACAGTTGAATATGAAAAAAAATTATCGATTGTGGTTGGTTAATTTCTTATGGCTTTACGGCCTTAGAACATACATACTGGAAGGGTCATGGATGACCAAAAGTGTCTGCAACATCTGTCTGTCCTTGTCTGAAAGCATGTTTGCTGTGCGCTTGTGCGTGATTTATATGTGAGCTCTGGGGGCTTATTACGGTTTCTTGTGACGAAGTAAAAATTACAAAAGTGATTGAATTTACTAAAATATTTATAACTTCATTGGTTAAAATAATTGTTAATGTGGCTCAATTAGAATAAATCAATAAATAAAAGAAGGGCAACGAACCAATTATACTGTATATTTAATAATCGTACATATACAAACGTTTCGACACCGATCGGATCATTTTCAATGTAAAACAACAAAATATTATTACATAAATTATCGGAAATTTTCGGTCACATTATACTGTTCAGTATGCGGTCCATATTTAAAATATCTTAAAGGTGATCTCATCTCACTTTTCACAATTCTTAAATTGTCTTAATGACGTTATCAACGTCGCTGTACATCGTCGAGGATATATCCAACAGTATTATGGCTTATTTTTTATTAAACATAACTTTGTTAATTGCGTTTTCTTCTCGGCGTCTAACTTACATCATTAAGACAATTTAAGAATTGTGAAAAGTGAGATGAGATCACCTTTAAGATATTTTAAATATGGACCGCATACTGAACAGTATAATGTGACCGAAAATTTCCGATAATTTATGTAATAATGTTTTGTTGTTTTACATTGAAAATGATCCGATCGGTGTCGAAACGTTTGTATATGTACGATTATTAAATATCTTACAGTATAATTGGCTCGTTGCCCTTCTTTTATTTATTGATTTATTGGTTAACATCTAGTGAATGTGATCATTTTTGTAATTTTCACTTCGTCACAAAAACCGTAATAAGCTCCCTGAACGTACATATGTATGCTAAGAGAATCCCCATTCTCGCCTTAGACATACACATGTACGTTCAGAGCTCACATATAAATCATGCGCAAGCAAAAAAATCATGCGTACAGCAACTCAGATAGTAACGTGTCTATCTTGTTGCTGGCATGTTGCTTGCTAAGTATGCATCGCTAAGCATGTATTGCTATCAGAATTGCAGCAACTGAGTCTTCATTTGTTGGCAACTTGATGCCTTCATGATATGATAACTTTGAGTAGCAACTTGCCAGTAGTTTGCCGACAACTTTAAAATCGTCATCATCAAAATTCGCACTACTGCCATCATGTTGCCATAATAATATACAGCATCATGCAATGCTTTCATATTGCCGACAACACAAGATAACATTGATACAGCTATCTTGCTGTTAAAGGGCTGGCAATACATATACACATTGCCTACATGTTGCTACAATGTCGGTATATTCGAAATCAATGGCTGCGTTCAGCAGACTCAACAG